GCAGTGTACTAGGGCTCCCCTTTCTCCACACCCTCGCCAGCACTTGTAGTTCGTTGACTTGTTGATGGAGCCATTCTGACAGGTGTGAAGTGATACCTCACTGTGGTTTTAATTTGCATCTCTCTAATTAGCTACGTTGAGCATTTTTTCTTATGTCTTTTAGCCATTTGTATGTCCTCTTTGGAGAAGTGTCTTTTTAGGTCCTTGGCCCATTTTTTAATTGGGTTGTTTGTCTTCCTTTTGTTAAGTTGTATGAGTTCCTTATGTATTTTGGATATTAACCGCTTATCAGATGTGTCATTGGCAAATATGTTCTCCCATACAGTGGGCTCCCTTTTCGTTTTGTTGATGGTTTCTTTTGCTGGGCAGAAGCTTTTTGTTTTGATGCAGTCCCATTTGTTTATTTTCTCCTTAGTTTCTCTTGCCCTGGGAGATGTATCGGCAAACATATTGCTGTGAGAGATGCCTGAGAGTTTGCTGCCTATGTTTTCCTCTAGGATTTTTGTGGTTTCATGTCTTACATTTAAGTCTTTTATCCATTTTGAATTTACTTTTGTGTATGGTGTGAGTTGGTGGTCTAGTTTCATTTTTTTGCATGTACCTGTCCAATTTTCCCAACACCATTTATTGAAGAGACTGTCTTTACTCCATTGTGTGTTCTTGCTTCATTTATCAAATATTAATTGACCATAATGGCATGGGTCAACTTCTGGGTTCTCTGTTCTGTTCCACTGATCAATATGTCTGTTCTTGTGCCAATACCAGGCTGTTTGGATTCCAGTGGCTTTGTAGTATAACTTGATATCTGGTGTTGTGATCCCTCCAACTTTGTTCTTCTTTCTCAAGATTGCCGTGGCTATTTTGAGTGTTTTTTGGTTCCATATAAATTTTCAAAATGTTTGTTCTAGGTCTGTGAAATACGCTGTTGGTATTTTAACAGGGATTGCATTGAATTTATAGATTGCTTTGGGTAGTATGGACATTGTAATGATGTTAATTCTTCCAATCTATGAACATGGTATATTTTCCCATTTGTTTATATTTTCCTCTATTTCTTTTCTCGGTGTCCTGTAGTTTTCTGAGTAAAGGTCTTTTACATCTTTGGTTAAGTTTATTCCTAGGTATCTTATTTTTTTAGTTGCAATGGTAAATGGGATATTTTTTTTTTTTAGTTTCTCTTTCTGAGAGTTCATTATTGGTGTATAAAAATGCCATTGATTTCTGGGTGTTAATTTTATACCTGCTACCTTGCTGAATTCACTTATTGAAGGATGCTTTTTAATGTAAGAGATTTGTAAATCCTGATGCAGCATAATCCTTGACTTGGCAGCTTTGGTCACCAAAGGGACCACTCAGCCTCATGGTGTTAGGACACTGCTTCCAGTGAATAGAAGGCTTTAGTGTGCACCACGCCCTGAGAACACATTGTTTCCTACCTGTGGCTTCTGCTTAATCTAGGAACATTTCTCTCTTTTACAGAGCTAACGGTGCTTTCCTTTAGTGGACCATGTGACTTTTGGGAAGCAGTCAGTTGGCACTACTTCAGTTAAAAGTAGAGAAACTAAGTTCTATGTAAGTGGTAAGGCATGAAGGCAAATCATATTAAGTGCCACAAGGAAGGTGTTACACTGATGACATCATCTCAGCCAGCCATGTGCTTCAAACCAGATGCACGGCCTGCACAGTCAAAAGGACTTAGTTGCCAACCCACCGTCAAATTTCTGTTCCTTTATTTACATGTAATACCTGCCCTGTTATTTAACAAGTTACACTTCTGTAGGATGGAGCCAGGGCTTCAGGGTGAGGGGCATGAGTTGTTCAGTTACACTTCTGATCCTGCTGGATCAGTGGGAGAATTAAGCCAAATGGTATGTGTAGAGCAACTAGTATAGTGCTGGTCCCTGAGAGGGTGGTCACCAGATGGCAGCAGGGATGGAGTTGGGGGTAGAAAGACCACAAAAAAGTTTGTGAAGGAAACGAGATTTGAGCTGGTCCTGGAACAGAGGATTAGATTTTATTGTGAGGAGGTTAATAGAAAGGCATTTTGGGTGGAGCCTAATAGCAGGAACGAAGAGAAGAGAAAGTAGTCTATATAGAGATATCAGTCACAGGAAAAGTGTAAGGAAAAGAGTAAGTTTAAGGTGAATCTCTTGCATGCTTTATGACTCTGCATTCCAAGACTCAACTTAAAATGTGCCTGTGCCTGAGAGGCACCCAGCTGGTCACTGCTTTGTGTTCCCACAGCGATGGGACTTTCCCTGCTGTGATGTGGTACTGATCGCTTTCTCTAAACACATCGTGGTGTGTGATAGGGCTCTGGATTCTGTGCTCCAGGAAGTAGAATGAGAGCTGTAATAATCGTGCCCTGAATCTTGGGTTTCTTCTTTGTATAGTGAAGTGTGATAAGTACTCTGCCTCTGACCATCCAGTTTTTATTCACAACTTTTTCCACCTTTTCCTTATGAAGCAATTTTAGTTACATACAGTACTATGGGTTTCCATGAATCCAATGTCCACCTTCAACCATTATCATATCAACTTATAACCAATCATATTTCATCTATTCTCTGATCTTTAACTTTGTCCATAAACGTGTTAAGAGGTATCTAACCGAGCCATATTGTCCTTGTCACATTCCAACCTTAATATTCCCAGGCAGAGTTCAAGTTTCTAGTTATCTCAGATATTTCAGGTGATTTCCCCCACCCCCAGTTTTCTAAAAAGAAACCAAGTGACTTGACCTGTAGTTTTCCACAGTGTGAATTGCTGAAATCATCTCCGTGTAGTTTAAGTAGATTCTCTGTCCCCTGTATTTTATGTAAATTGGCAGCTGGATCTGGAGACTTGATCAGATTCAGGTATCATACATAGTGTTTAGTTTTCCATCAGAAAATTGGGCTGTTTATTTGGTTTGGGTTGTGTGTGCGTGTATGTGTGTGTGTGTGTGTGTGTGTGTGTGTGTGTGTGTGTGTGTGTGTGTGATGTTAGCAGCTCATTCATTAATTCATTGGGAACTGTTAAAAGAAAGCAGTTCTCTTTGTTCCTGCTATTAGGCTCCACCCAAAATGCCTTTGATTCCAGCATTTTTCTTTAGTAGCTGGAAGAGAAATGTTTTTCTTCTGACTTGTTGATTATCCAGTGGAGCAACAGTTTTGTGACTGGGATCCATTCTGTGGACATGAGGACAGCCACAGCTTTCATGCTGACACGTGGTACATCAGACACAGCTCCTCAGACTTCATATTGAAAACTGCTTTTCAGAGGTGTCGTTGGGTTTCTCTAAGACCTCCCCCATGGGACCAAGACCGTCTTGATAAGTGCAAAACTTGGGCTCAGGGGATTGAAACTTGAGTAAACTGACTTCACAGTTCAAGAATGAATTTAGGAAAACATTCCACAAAAAGCTGTGCAATTTTTAATTGCTGATAACATCCTGTGCTGTTGTTTCTCTAGGTTTCAGTGGACCGGGTTTTAAAGACCCTGAAAGAAAATGCCAATAAAGCCAAAAGTTTACTCCTCAGCACCATACCTCAGATAGGGTCCATGGAATGGTCAGAAACCCTCCATAACCTGAAGGTAAGTACCCTGAGCCACCTGCAAGCAGACACTCCCACAGATCCTCAGCTGCTTGTCCTCTTATGTGCATGTCACCCTTGGTCCATCCGTCCCCTCTTGTATTTTATACTAGTCTAGATGTTTTCTACAAGTTTGCATTCCATTTCCTTCAGTAGTAAACCATTTTTGAAATTGTGTAGCTGTATCTGGCTGGTAATGCAAGACCACTGAAAGGTGAGGTGGGGAGAGTTTTATTATCTAGTCTGCTCAGTTCTTGACATTGTTCTGCTCTGCAGTATATCTCTAAGTCTTACTTCAGAAGATGGATAGCACTTGCACTGCATGTGGCCTAAGTTGCCAAGGAAGCCATTTTTTTCCTTTGGCAGATGCATGCAAAGTGGTTGCAGCCTTTAAAGCTAAAACTGACACAGCAGTAAGGAAATGGTCCTGAGGAATATGTATTTAATCTTAATGTTGCCTCAAACTAAGTAATTAATGACAAACATCGGCTGGGTTGCAGATTGGTAACTTTTCAACTCTAGTATTAACTCCCATTATATACAGGGTGGGGCAAAAGTAGGTTCACAGTTGCTCATATGGAAAATAATAGAATAATTAATAAGTAATAATACAAGAATAAACTCTATTTCTTGTACTCACAACTGTAAACCTACTTTTGCCATACCCTGTAATTTAAACTGCCAAGTTCAGAGATGCATGATTTTTGTTTGGACATTTTGTGACTCCTGATTAAACATATTAGATGTGGAGTTGCCTCAAATTGATCAGATATTACATTCACCTAATATCCAAAAAGGGTAGCCAGTATATCCTGAGGTCTCCTAGAATATCCCTATACTCTTAGGACTTATGGCAGTAGTTAAGAGAGGATTTGAAAGGTTGATATAAGCCCTCTCTTCCCCCAATTCTCATAGAGGAGCCCTGGATTGAGAGCCACAATATTAGTGTGATGAGAACACAATATGGTAGTAAATGATTGACAACCACTGGGTGTGGAGAAGCCATGATTTATGCCAGTTTTCATGGTGTAAATGCTCCAGCACAGCTGATTTCAAGATACCAACAGGAAGCAACTGATAAGCTGGGAGAGCCTACAGATAGATGGTTCTTGTAAGCTAGCCCACACACCACTGTCACTAAGGTTCCTTTAGGACTGGCGGAGTCAGGAATAGGGGAATTTGTAATCTGTCTTTCCTGCTAGACTTTTAAGTCTATAAGGAGCAAGAAACATATCAGTTGGTTTCAACCTATATACCTAGGAGATAAATGTGCTTTAATGAATAAATGATCATCCCTTTCCCCCACAAAGTGACCTCAAGAGAGAAAATGAAGACTCACTGCCCTCATTCTATAGCATTATGGAACACCTTAGAATAATTCCTTATTCTGGGGTAGTATTTCCCAGTTCTCTCAGCACTGAAATGTATAGCGTTCACTCAATCACCAGTTTATTCCAGAAACGGAGTGCCCACTGTATGTCAGGTTGTGGTTTGCACAGCTGCATAGGACTTGCTATCATGAAGAGCATTCTATTTTCGAGATAGCAACATATTAAAATCTTAGTGATTTTTTTTTTTTTTTTTTTTGGTGGGATAAAGTGGAAAATGGAGGTTGCATTAACAAAAACCCAGGTTGGGGGTTTGCATATAAAATGTGTCCTAGTGCCTACGTAAGGGGAGGGAAATAAGTGAGAATGAGAGATAAGCGTTCTGAACCTCGCTTTGCAGGAAGGGAGAGTAAGGAGCTGGTTACGAGCTACGTGGAAAGTCCCACATCTGGTTAGTTACTGTTACTTTGATGAACATGAGCATTTTCTGGAAAGTTGATTAATAGTGTATGTCTCATGAGTCGGTACTCTAAAATCAAAATAAGGGTTTTTAACAGAATCCCGAATAAAATCATGCATAAAAAATCAACAAGTGCTTGGTTCATTGTAAATCTGTGTCTACTTTCCTTTCAGAACATGGCCCAGTTCTCTGTTTTATTACCGAGACATTAAAATAGCATGCCTGCCCAGAAGATGAGACGACTTTCTGATTCTAGTCATTTGGGGAATTCCTGCTAAATTTGAAATGTGGAAAAGCTTTCATGCCCTTGCCCCCTAAGGAAGAACATGTGATAAGAGCATGCCAATGTGAAAGATGCCTTCTCAAAGACATGGACTGCTTCGAAAAACAGAGGGAAAGCAAATGACCAGTAAACATGTGGAAAAATTCCTACCCTTTAGAAAAAAGGCAGGAAGACACCATTCACCCTCCCCTCATTAAATTCATTGCAATAAAGGGTGGGAGGTAACATTCAGTTTCCTGTGTTGCCAAGGACTATGAAGAGGAAATGGTACTCTTAGACTGTTGGTGTCTCTGTAAATTGGTACAGTCTTTCTGGAGAGTGGTTTGGTAAAATGTATCAAATGACTTAAAAATACACCCTTTGTGCTGGCTATTCTACTCCTTTTATCTTTCAAAATATAACTTTAAAGAATCAGAAATGCATAGAGAATTATGCATAAAGAAGGATGTTTAATATGTGTTAATAGCAAATATTCAAAACAATCCGAATCTCCAAAAATTAGAGATAAATTACGATTTAGCTCTAATTAGATTGTGAAGCAGCCAACTGAAGATTTTGTTGTTGTTAATCTTCACCCAAAGATATTTTTTTCATTGATTTTCTTTTTAAAGTAGAAGTGAGGGGGAGAGAGAAAAAACATCAATGTGAGAAAGATACGTCAATTGATTGCCTCCTGTACGTACCCCGACCTGGGCCAAAAACAAACCTGCAGCCCAGGTACATGCCCTGACCAGGAATCGAGCCCACAACCCTTTGGTTCCCAGACCGGTGCTCTAACCATTGAGCCACGCTGGCCAGGGCTGAAGATCCTGTTTTAATATAACATTTAATGTCCTAAAGAATTGGTCGCTCTGTAATATAAAATGAAAAAAGGATATGTGAGCATTTTACAGCACTAATTTTGTTTTAAAATTCTACATAACTGTACAAAAAAGACTAGAAAGAAATACATCTTTTGTTACTGTATTTTGGGAGTATACTGGATCATTTTAATTTTCTTTATATTTTTCTGTCTTTACATTTTTTTCTACATGAATATAATCAAAGTAAAGTTGTTTTAAAAATAAAAATTACTGAGAAAAATCCAATTGTTAAACACATTGTTCCTGGTAAAGAAGCAAAAATTAAGGTGGTAATAATAATGAGTTCTTTTTGAGTTCCATCTTTATTTTGTTAAAAACAAAAGGATCATTAATGACTTGAACAGTCATTGAGATACTTGGGTTTGCAAATAACTTCTTGAGAAGAGCTGGGCAATTAGCACTGAGATAGCCTTAAAGTATCTAAGAGACTACATACACACATTGTAGTGTGCCAGATATTTTTAAAGTTGACATTTTATTAACTTTATAGGAATGTGTTTTGTTTTCTATCACAGGAAGATCTTTTTTTTCTCAGAATCATTAATGTTCTTTTCACTGTGGTCTATTACAGGGCCCTTTAGTGATGTAGCTTTTGTCTGTTTAAAGCAGGGGTGGGGCACATCCAGCCCGTGGGCCATATACCACCCTCGGAATCGTTTGGTCTGGTCCTGCCAAGGCCTCACCAAACAGAACCAATTCCAGCCATCAGATTAGGGGTGAGTTAATTAAATGTTTGACCAAATATATAATAGGCTAATTTTTAAGTTGATAATTTTGTATGGCCCTCGAATGATGTTATAAATATCCAAATGGCCCTTGGCAGAAAAAGGGTTCCCCACCCCTGGTTTAAAGAGCCTGTAAAGTCAGTGTATTTTTGTCTATGAGATTGCCTTCAAGATTATAAGCTACTAACGGTAAACAGTGAAATAAACCAGTTACCCTTCAGCATTAATATTGAGCTGTTTGGGTTACATGTGATTATGTCTTGGGTTCTCTAATGCAGTGGTTTCAACTCTGGTTGCATATTGGGGACCCACGAAGGACCTAGTGGACCTGAACCCAGGGTTCTCTGGCTTTGTAACCCATGATTGTCTTTACTACCCTGTAATATATACTATACTTTACTTTTCTTCATTCTTAGATGTCTGAAGATGTCAAGGCAAAAACATGTGGGCATTTTCCTTTCTGCCTTCAGAAAGTACTGTTTCCCCCCACTGTTTTAGAGGTACTTTTCTTAACCCATAGCCTTTTCTAGCAACCTCATTTCCAGACTTCACAAATGGACTATACTTCTGTTTTCTGGTACTCCTTGTATAGAGCCAATATAATTTTCCTCAGAGCTCATTCTTGAGAACTTCCACCATTTATTCCTGGAATGCTTCTCATTTCTTTTTTTTTTTTTTTTTTAATTACAAAATTAACAACACTGTGATCAGTGCTGAGCATTTGAAAGTTTCCCTAGTGGTTTTTGGGCTTAATGGAAGAGTTCTAACTTAGTGACTTAGGCCCTTGGAAGAGTGCCCAGTTACTGATTAGTACATTTGCATTAACTTAGAAATCTTTACCCGCATTATGAGCTGCTTATTACTGTTTTTCCTGATTTTGAGGATGAGACAATCAGAATAGTTTATGTAGAGTGTTAACCGAAAGAGTGGAGAAGGCTGGAATAGCAAGGTTATTTTGCAAATTAGCCTCAGTACATCCTGGAGTTGTTTACACTAGGCAACTGAAAAATGTGCTTGATTTCATAAGTATTTTGTTGGAGAGCACATTTTTACAGAATAAAAAAAAAGCATTTGATGATTTCATTTAGGGACGATTAAAAGGAAATTGTCAGTGTTTTCAAACTATGCCCTCAGTTTTATAGATGATTCAGGCTTAAAAAGTCTACACATTGGAATGTGATGACGCATCCATAAACTGCTCTTTTTGACCTCACTTTGGTTTACAAATCCACCCCCCCATAAGAATCAAGCTTTCAAGGCTAAAGCAGTACGAAGAAAGCCAGTTCCAAATATTACAAAAGATTCAAAGACCAGTAGTAAACCCTGATCCATCTTCCAGCTTCAAGAATTATCTCAGCCAGTGTCTCTTCTAAACTCCCCCCCACCCTCCTCCCATGTTATGTTGAAGCATTTCTCATATCAGATCATTCAACCCATGAGTATTTCACTGTTACTTCTACCGGATAAGTATTAAGATAGCCACAAAACCATCAGCACACAAAAAAAGGAATAAAAATTCCTGAATGTCATCAACTATGCAGTCAATATCCGGAAGTGTGTGTCCCGTGAATGCCATTTTTTACACATCTTTTATTTGAATCAGGACTCGGTTGAGGTGCACACATTGCACGTGGTTGATACGATTCTCTTTCTGTTCATCTCTGTTCACTCTCCCTCTCTTGCTGACTATTCCTTTCTCCTCCCCTCTCCTTTTATCTTTCATGCTCTCTCTTTCTGTCTCTCTCTCCTTACAGTTTATTTGGTGAAGAAACCCAGTTTGTCCTGGAGAGTTTCATATAATCCAGATTCCTGTACCTGCATCCCCATAGTGGAGTTTAGCATAATCCTGCCTGTATGTCCTCTAAACTGATAAATTGGATCTAGACAGATTTTTTTTTTTCAAGACTACTTCGGAGGAGGTGGTATGTTCTTCCATTAGGAGGGTCACAATGTCTTATCTCTTGGATGTCAGCAGCCATCAGCTTTCTATGCCTTTGTCCGTTAATGAGTTGCAAAAAATTATATTCTAATTCAAAGTGACTGTCACTTAAATACATGAAAAGTAAGGTGACAGCCTCTCTGTTTGAATTAAGATTAAAAACAATATACTCAGAAAGAGCATTTTCTACAATTTAACAATCATTAATAGCAAAGGTTGGTAAACAATTGAAATTCCTTAGAATTTAAAAATGGATCAGATATATACTATGAAATACATATTTGATAAATGATTAGGAACAAAGCCACAAGAAGAAAAAATAAAACAACGAGACTATCTTAAAATACTAGACAGATTTTTAAAAGAACTAAATAGACCCTGGCCAGTGTGGCTCAGTTGGTTGGGGGTTTATCCTGTGCACCAAAAGGTTGCTGGTTCAAGAGGTTGCTGGTTTGATTCCCAGTAGGGGGTGTACCACTGAATGTTCCACTCTCACATTGATGTTTCTCTTTCCCCCTCTCCCTTCCTCTCTTAAAAAAAAAAAAAATCATTAAAAACCTTTTTTTAAGAAAGAACTAACTAGTACTGATGGAAATTTAACATAAAACTAATACCAAATTAGAAACTCAAGAGAGTTATTCAGAACATTAGAGTTGGAGAGGAAATGGGTGAAGTGCATTATGCACTCAAGAAAAAAACCAAAAGGTATAGAGAAATAAAGAGATGGGAAATAGGGTAGCTTGAAATATAAAATATAGCACAAGTTCTAACAAATCTTATGAAAGAGAATACATGTTCCAGAAAGAAGTAATAGAGAAAATGGGGGGTGTGACTGGCTTCAGCGTCACAGCATGGGGAGCTCTGGACTCACCAGCAAAACTCCTGAAAATTAAAACAACCAGTTAAAAACCATATGGTTGAAGGATATGCAGCAACTAAAGAAACACATATTCAGGAGATTTATTGAAATTTGATAAGAACAGTGAGAGTCTGATTTGAACTGAGATCACTTCTCCAAACTCAGTAAGATGGAAACTTCAAACTGGTGCAGCCAAGAACCCAGGACCCATCTCCTGGTTGGAGGGCAGTCATCCCAGGAGGGAAGGATGTCAGTATTTCTCTCCCTCTCCCACCTGTCACTGAAGCTAAGTTATGGGCAAGTGTGGGTGAGCGGTGGGGTTTCTCTTCTGCCCAGCTTCCAAGGAGGGTCTTACCTTGAGTGTGGTGCTGCTAAAAAGACTGGGGCCTCAGTCACCTTTCTGTTGGCTGGTTAGGCAGTGATTCCATCCGGGGAGAGTCAAGCGAAAAAGAGCTCAAGGCACTGTCCCCCACCACCACCGCTGAGCACTCAGCCACTAACCTGGAACAGTTACTCAGAGAGAAGCTTGCCGCTGTCCCCACTTCCAGCTCCATAGGCATAACCAGAGTTGTCTTGGGGGCGAGCAGGCCATAAATCAGAGCGCTATTTTCCTAAAGGAACTGGCTTCATTTGAAACGAGAAGTTCAAACCTCAGGGTACTCAGGAGCAATGGAGGTAGTGGTGAAGGGCAGTTAGTATGGTATTGGTAGGATCATTGGACATAGAAGAGAAACTGTAGGCTGCCTAGTTTGCATGAGAACCTGGGAGGGACATCATAGCCGGGAGGAGACGGGCCAGAACAAATCTCAATAACTGATTTTCAGAACTATCCCTTCAAAAGAGGCTGAATTTTGCCCGGCCGGGTGTGGCTCAGGGGTTGAGCATCGACCTAGGATCCAGGAGATGGTGGCTTGATTGCCGGTCAGGGCACATGCCCAGGTTCGGGCTCGATCCCCAGTCGGGGGCGTGCAGGAGGCAGCCGATCAATGACTCTCTCATCATTGATGTTTCTATCTCTCTCTCTCCTTTCCTCTCTCTGAAATCAATAAAGATTTCTTTTTTTTTTAAAGAGTCTGAATTTCATTAGTTTATTGATGAGGAATTTATGCCTCGGGGCATTATTGAAAGCAGTAAAGCAATCACCCAGCAATCAGTAAAGCCTAACAGCGGGGCACCGGGGAAGGAGGCAGCCAAAGAGAAGCCTGTAAACACCGTCCCCACCTCACCCCCGCCCCTGCTACCCGGAGGAGGGCTCAAAGGCCTTGTTAGTTCCCACATAACTTAAAGGGGACTCTCGCAGTGTCTGGAGCCCTTGATGTCCTGCAAATGAAGGAAGACGATGTCCTCAATTTCCTTGCAGCAGGAACCTGCTTAGGTGGCACCAACCTTGACTTCCAAGTGGGACAGCATATCCACAAAGGAAAAGTGGTGACATCTGCTTCCTATCTGAAGCGAACCTGGGAGAAGCTTCTGCTGGCAGCTCTTGCCCTTGAAAACCTTGCTGATGTCAGTGTCATAACCCTCCAGGAACACCGGCCGCGAGCTGTGCTGAGGTTTGCTGCTGCCACTAGAGCCACTGC